TACTTCATTTATTTTCTCAAGCTTAGATAGCCAGAATCACCCTGCCAAACTCTCTCTTCAACCCACTTTTCTGCAACTTCGAATTTGGTTTTATAACTTTTCTCAATCCATCTTATTTGTCAATTCTTCATCCTTGAACTTCACTTAATGTAACAAAAGAAGAACCAAGCTCTAAGACTTCCTAAATCGTGCTAGCCAAGTTAAGTTTCAGAGCTATGAATTTGAACTTGAATAGGTAGATTCTTTCATCAATTCTCTCAAACTTTGGTACTGTAATGAAGCTCTCATCATTATGATTCTAGTCGCAACATTTATTTTCAACTGGAATTTTGTTTTGGCCATGAATTTTTAAATCCGTTTTCAAATCTTTCCTTCTGAAACGACTGAGCTATACCTTACATTAATTTTTCGCGAGGATGCCGTTGGAATCGTCTTGAAGAGAAATTGAAGACGACCTACGTGTTTGTGTCCGTGGAGAGAGGTTGAAGACGACCTACGTGTCCGTCTTCAACCAATGGGAATTTGCCACACGTTTTTTCAAATGTGATTTAATAATTGATCACATGTTTTATTCATTAAGGACCATGATATGTATAGCACGTATGATCCATTGGATTAGCTTACTAACGCATTTTGACTCTCATCCAATGGTCTTTATTTTTTTACTTTATTTTTTATTTCTGATTTTTTATATTTAATTGTTTTAAACTTCAAAAAATCATAGAAATTCATTTATGACTCAAAAATTATGAAAAAATTCACAAAAGTATTTTCAAATATTCTCTTTATGATTTTTATATGTTCATAATTTTAATTTAAGAATTGGTATTTTTCATGATTTTTTCTTTGTTTTGTTTTGTTTTTAATTGCTTAAAGATACTTTTTGACATTTTTAAATTCTAAAAAAAATTCATCAAAATTATTTCTCTTATTTCTGACCTTCTGAATTTTTTTTAGAATTTTATTTTGACTTCTACTATTTTTGATCTTTTTTTCACTTATTTGAGTAATTTTAATTAGTTTAAAAATACTTTTCTGATTTGAAAAATTACCAAAAATTTTGTAAAATATTTGAGGTCATTTCTGGTTTTTCTATGGTCTCTTTTAATTTTTCTTTGATATTTTGAGTATATTTTTCTATTTTCCCTTTTATTTTCATTTTAAAAATCATTTTCTTTTTTTATTTTATTCATTAAATACAATTTTATTTTTGTATATATTCTGACCTTTTGACTTTTGATCATGTACTTCATTAACATCATTGGATCTTGGGTGTTGAGTTTAACTCCACCAAAATGGATGAATGATTTTAATAATAGTTTGATTATATTTTTAGTTCAAATATATCCCTTCCCTCTTCATCTCATCCTCTTCTCATTGTGTTACATGTTGTTAGAGGATGATATACATATCATCTCTCCAAACATATGACATATAAATTGCTATTGATCGGTCTCAAAATAGCTGCGACTTCTATATAGGTCCACTTAGGATTGCTTAACATAACGCTAAATTTTGTCCTGATTTGAGAAATGATCATTCGTGGCCCAAACTTATGTTTGCAAGCCCAAGTATGTTAATTTGAAACCTTTGATCCAATAATCTTGAGATTCATCGTTAGGAGGCTTTGGTCTTATCAATCCTCTAATGAATATTTATAAGTTTAGTCAAAGTGAATCACTTAAACATAATTGATCATTTATTGTTTCCTTGAGATTTTGAAAATAAATGATATACTTGACAAAAAGCAAATAAAACTTGTTGTTGAGAGGCTTTGATTTTATCAATCCTCTAATGAGTTTTAAATGCAAGTTTCAAGATGGTCATTCAACTAACCTCAAATTACTAATTCATTAACATTTGACTTTTATTTTATGCCCTTTATTTTATGCCTTTACTTTATGCACCATTTTATTTTAGCATTTACATTTCATGCTATTTTCATCTTTGCTCACTTGAGCATTTAATTTTATGTCATTTTTATTTTGCTCGCTTGATATTCTCATTTCGTTTTGAAGATACCTAATAATTAACTTGAACCATAAAAAACTTTAATGTTACTTGGACTATTTGGTTACTATCCTTGGCATTATGGAGTGATGGACTTCTTGGACTTAGGATTATAGACCTTAACCTACCTTGAGACTTTGTGACTTTCATTGCTATTTTTTCTAGAGTTCTTGGGGTCTACCCCAAGATATTGGGTTGTTTGTTTTCTTTGTGTTCAGGTTATTCTGATATATGCTTTGTATGTGATTGGGAATTCATCTGTATATAGATGTTACTCTGTCCAACTTTTGTGAATACTTAATGCACTTGAAGTTTGATTCTTAAGAGGTTATATTGTCCTTGCTTGTTTGGTTTCAATCCAAAGAATTTTGGAATTCTACATTGACTCATTATGTCCAGTGTTGGCTTCTTTTTGTTTAGACGGTTCTTTTCCCTAGCTTTTACCCGTATGCTTTAGGACAACCTCTTCATCTCCTCCCATCTTCTTTAATTTCAAAAATCTTCTCCCTCCTTTGAAAACTCTTCTTGTTTTAAACTTGAACCTCTTTCACAATAAACTTGTACTTAGGTCCATTCCCTTTTCAAAATATTTTCTTAATCAACTTAACAATACCTTGACATTTTTTATGAGAAGACTATAAGTCAACCAATCTCATTCAAACCATTTTTCCGCTTTGGGCGTTTTACATTAAAATTTTCTCAAAAGATCAGACTCTTGTCAATCTTTATAGTGATGTGAGCTAATATACTTCTATGATATATAGTGAAGTGAGATATTTTCCACTTAGGTGTTGAGCGAAACTTTGTTGATTTTAAAAGCCAAGCTATATCCTCCATATGGAGATGATGCAAATTATCCTTTCTCATAATCGTGGGTAGTAAGTATGTTCTTCCACTCAGATACGACGATGATGTATCGTCTCTTAAAAATTAACCAAAACACTTGTGTTTTAAAATTTTTTAAAGGTGAACTACGAGTACCCTGATCTCCTATTGCACGAAAGGTGGTACGTAGGTGTAATACCGTGGGAGAATTGACTTGGTTGTTTTGCGTTTGTTCGCAATTGTTGCGGATAGCAAGAGTCTCCACTGACTTTTCTTTTATCCAATAAAGAAAGAGTGAAAAGAACAGGAAAGACCTTTGAGATATTTTCTTGAGTTCGGGGAGTAGATTATGAAAAGGAAAGGTGTTAACACCCTTTTCATACATAGTTATCTATTGGCTCTTAGTTGCTTTCTAGATCAATTTTGAAATTGCTTTGTTTAAAATGTGTTTGTGATGGTTTTTGAAAGTATCTTTGAAAAACGCCTTCGTTTAGGCAAACTTTGTAATGATTCTCGTCTCTATAAGAATGCATACAAAGCGTTGGACTTTTTGAAAATATTTCATGTTTTTTTGAAAGTGTTTGGTGTATTTGAAAAGATATTTGTTTTGAAGATGGATTGTGAGCAAGAAATTAATAACGTTCTACCTACTCAAAAGTCTTTTGTTCATTTCTCTTTTATTTTGACATTGCTATCTTACCATTGATTGGTAAGTAACCCTATCTTTGGATGTAAAGGGACATGCGCGGGTCGTCGTATAGTCATAAACTGCAATGTTGTGAGATGCCTTAGCATTTTTCTTAAGGGTCTAAGATCATTTATAAGGCAACATTCGAAGCGTCATCAAGGGACTATGATCTTGTCTTTTTATTGTTTTTTCTATGGTGTCTCACATGCATAACATAACCATTTATTCTCAAGGCAATAAGTGGAGTTAACCCTAGAGGTGCAAAGTCTGCAAGTGTATATTTTTTCATGCATTATTTTGTCTTGGATTAGGGTTGTCTAAGATTGATTTTATCTTTCCATACACACCCTAATTACTAACAATTATATTAAAATAATGAATTTGTGGAAATTAAAATCCTACGCTATTACATCATTAAGGGGATGGGGGTATAATTTAAAAATGGGCATGAAATAAGAGCTTAAATATTACAACCATATTGAATAGCTATGAAGAAAATATGTGAAATATGTAAAAACAGTGTAAAAGAGAGGAAAAATCAATTTTTTAACATTATGTGTCGACACATGCTTATATGCATTGACACATAACCTTCCCTTGCCCCTGTAATACCAAATCAACTCAGTATGAGTCGATGCATAATGGTATATGTTGACTCATACCTTGCATGTGTTAACACATTTGTGCTTTGTGTCGACTCATACACCCTTTTTTTCCTTCTATTTTGGGCCTGTATAGCAGTATGTGTCGATGCATAAGGCTTTGTATCGATTCATAACCTGTTTTTCCACTAAGATGCACTACTAAAAAAAAGACATTTGAGAAAAGGTTTTTACATCGGGTATCAAAATATATGATGTAAAAAATACAACTAACAAACTTTTTACATCAGGTATTTATTTGCAATGATATAAAAAATATGAAAAAAAAATATATTTCGCTACCTATTACATCGGGCAAACGCATCCACCGATGTAAAAAGTTTTCAGAAAAAAATACAGTGGCATTTTTGTAAATAAGAAACAAGGTAGTAGAAATATTAAAAAAAACATGCAACATATTACATCGGTTGACTAAAAACCGATGTAATATCTTCACAACAGATATTAATATAAAAAATAAATTAAATAATAAATTAATTTTTTCGCAACTTATTACATCGGTTGAAGTATAAACCGATGTAAAAAAGCCAGAAAATCAGCTTGCATCGGGTATTACAATGGACCGATGTAAAAAAGCCAAAACCCTTACATCGGTTGTAAGGTTCCACCGATGTAATAGGTTGTCCACTAAGCCAACCCTTACATCGGTTATGCCTTTCCACCGAGGTAATAGCTTCCAAACAGAAAGAAAAGAGTGATAATAACCAAATCGAATGTTGAGTGTAACACAAAACACACTCTCAGAACCATGTTAGAGGGAACACTCTCCTCCCACCGCGGCAACTCTCACGGCGAAGGCGACGAGGACATTCTCAATGACGACGGATCCAAAACGAAGAAGCAATAATACATCCTCTTTCGTTTCACCAACAGATTCTCAACCTACCTTTCCCGAACTGCTACCCACTGCGTGCTGTGTCTCGCGCTTGCGTTCATTCTTCTTCTCATTTTCTCCTTCTTCTTCACCTCTCGCAACTTTGTTTGCATCTCGGCTTCATCTTTCTTCAAACCCGCTGCTCGCGCTGCTTTCTTCGGCCTTGATGGACTGGATTCCGATTTCGGAGCTCTCGGCGTGCCCTGATGTAAGTCTCTTTGCGCTGATCTGATCTCTTTAATGCTTTATTTCTGTTTTCCTCGATCGTGACTTGGTTGTTTTGTTTGGATCCAGAGAAAAAACACACAAAATCAAATGCTTCTGGATTGGAATGTTATATTTTTTTTCAATGTTTAATTTATGATTTATTTTATGGATCCTGATCCCGTTAATGCAATCAAATTTCCTTCTCTTTTTGCATAATTGGTTGATTTTGAACTCTTATTATGGCTTTGGCTTTACTCCATGTTCATTTGAATGCTGATAAATAGCTTTTTAGGAATTTATGTACATAAGTTAAAGTGGAATTAGGATACGCTCGTTAAGTAATGGATTGAAAATTTCGTTTTCTTTTGTTTTAAACTCTTGGTTTGTGATTTTGAAATGATAAGTCATATTGCTTGTTATTTTGGATACTTATAATCTTATCCTTGGTAAAGGCAGATCGAAACATGGTAAAACTGTAGAATGGACATTAAAAGATCTGCTTAAGGGGCTGGAAGAGTTTGTTCCGATATATGAAACACGACCAATCAAAAACAACATGTATGGAATGGGTTTAGACCACAGCTTTGGACTTTGGTTTATTGCCCGGTGGCTGAAACCAGATTTGATGATCGAGAGTGGTGCTTTTAAAGGACATTCGACTTGGGTTTTGTGGCAAGCTATGCCTGATTCGCATATTATTTCTGTTACACCTAGGCATCCAGAAAAGTATCTAAAAAAGGGACCTGCTTATGTCGATGGGAACTGTACATATTTTGATGGAAAAGACTTTGTGGATTTTGGGAGTATTGACTGGCCAACTGTGATGAGCAAACAAGGGATTACAGACCTTAGTCGGGTTCTTATATTTTTTGACGACCACCAAAATGAATTGAAAAGGTGACTTACTAGATCTTTGAGATGCATGATTCAATAGTTGAATACTTATTATGATGAAATTGCTATTGCTTATCATGATTATTTTGTATGTCTCATAATGAGCAGAATCAAACAAGATCTGAAAGCTGGGTTCCGACATCTTGTTTTTGAGGATAACTATGACACTGGTATTGGGGATCATTATTCACTGAGGCAGATATGTGATCAATTTTATATACGAGGTGTGTAAACTCTCACTTTGCTATCGAGTTATCATATTTGATTGAATTTTCTTTCTGTTACCGTGAGAAATGCATACAAATAATATGCATAAATAGAATTGATGAGAAATGAACGGAAATCCAACATGTAAAGCCAGAAAATTGATGAAAAACACTACTACTAGTTTGTAGTGAGACAAGCATACGTCTGTATAGTAACTTGAAAGGTTTAAATCCTAGAAATGGCAGCAAGAATACATTTTGGTTAGCTGGAAACCATTTATTAGTATCTTGCAATTTGTTTGATTGGCAAACTTTTGAGGATAGACACTGCTATGTTTAGGCACATGCTAGATACCTCAGACAATTAGCTTCGACGCACCTGACATATCCGACACGACTACAACAAGAATGGTTTCCATGATTATTAGTAAAAACTGATGTAAAAACTTTCAAAAAGGGACTTTTTACATCGGGTATTACTTCCAACCGATGTAAAAAACTGGATCAATTTTTTTAAAAAATGTGCATAATAATTGTTTCTTACATCGGTTCATATATTATAACTGATGTAAAAAATGGACTTTTTACATCGGGTATTACTTCCAACCGATGTAAAAAACTGGATCAATTTTTTAAAAAATGTGCATAATAACAGGTTATTACATCGGTTCTGATATTATAACCGATGTAAAAAAAGGACTTTTAACATCGGTCCCAGAACCGATGTAAAAAGTCCCTGATTTACTATATCGCCTGACCTTACATCGGACCCAAAACCGATGTAAAAAGTCAATTTCACCCGATGTAAAAAGTCATTTCTGCACTAGTGATGTGTCGACTTATATAGGTACGTGTCGACTCATACTGTAATTTTTTCACTCCAACATTGTTTTATGGTCTGTACAAGTCAGTTCTTAACATATAATTGATAAGGATGGAAGACAAGAAAAAGGTTAGCTTCAAGGGCAATGGTTACTACATTTTATCTTCAGATATGAATCATTAATGATGCTTGAAATGAAGGGTTAAAGTCAAGAAGACTTACCTTGAAGATGGAATTTATTCTTTAAGCTTGAGTTGCTTCCTTGACTGTTCTTTAACTTGGAAATAACAGAGGTGTTACAGAAGCTTGTTCTTGAGTTTGAACAAACTTCTATATGATGTATGTGGAGTGTTTGGATAGTTTGTTTGGGCAGAGCTTTGCAAGGTATGAGAGGTTCAAAGGTTTGGACTTCAAAACTCAAGAGTGGAAGCTTTGTGGAATATTATGGATTTTATGAATATAAGATTTTGAGGGTTTATCAATAAAACTTCTGGATTTTCTCTCTATTTTTCTGACCTCCTTCTCTTGCAAATGCTTCTTCTATTTATAGGAAAGAGGTTTGTGAACATGTTGATTTTGTTTACAAAACTATGGATTTTTGGCTAGGTTGGATTTCAAATATCAAGTTATGTCATGGTACCAAGATGAAGTACCCAAGTTGCTGGTTTAGAGGGGCTACTTTCCATGATTTATGGTGGAGTAAAATCAGAAGCAAACAAGGTATGGGCTCAAGACAAGTTTTGTGCCAACAAGCTTGGTTTTCAAGAATAGTAATGGTGCCTTTATGCCATAAATGAAAAGATATTTTTTAAAATGGCTAAAACATTTGGGTAATAGCTCAAAAGTAGGTGTAAGCATTAAATTATGGTGAGATTGGCAAGTTAGAAGGCCTGCAACACAAGATTATGCAGCACAACATAAGGATTTTGTTATGTGTTCTTCAACAAAATGCCTTGTAATTCAAGAGAGGATGCCTAACTTCATGCCTTTAAATATGCTAACTCAAGTATGAAAATTGGAACTTGATGAAAATTGGCCAAGAAGTTGGGCTAAAAACCTGACCAAACCTGCTGAAAATTTCTCTAAGTGTTTAATAAACAATGCCATGACTTCATGAATTTATAACTTAAAATCCAAGCATTTCTAGAAAAAGTGACGCCCTTCAACATTTTAGATCTCATTGAGATCTACAACTTTCATGTTGGAAGTTTTCCTTGAATCATTTTGCATCATGGTTAAAATTTGGCACAAAGTCATGAAAAAAGTTTACTTTCTAATACTTAGAAAATTTTCTAAGTCTTAGAATTTTGACTTTTCAAAGATAATTTTGAATTTTTGATTTCTTGATGAACAATCTTCACATTTTTACATGTCTTGATGAAATAAGAATTTTGAAACTTGATTTTGATCAAAAAGTCAAAGATTGACTTTTTAATGTATAGTTGACTTTTTCATCAATTGACCAAATTTGAATTATCAATCAATTGATCTTGAGAAGTGTTTTGAACCATTCCATTAGGTCAATATGATGCATTTGAATCCTTGATATCATGTCTCAAACCAATAAATCATGTATTTGGTCAAAAGTCAAAAATTGAGCCTTCTCAGTCAAAACCCTAATTTTGACCATATTGCCCTTTTGGTGACCTGAACAAATTTCTTGAGGAATTATGATCCAAACTTGATCAATGTACATATATATATTCAAAATGTTGATATGGATAAAAAATTATGAAGTTTGACTATAAATTGACCATAATTGACTTTTTGTCCAATATAGTTGATTTTAGGTCAACTGAGCAAAAATGTGATGCAAAGCTTGAAACTTGACATGAGCAATCTTTAGAGTCCAAAATGATCCATGAAATTCATATGGGGCCTTAAAAGTCCAATTGTACTTGTGCAAACTCAAACCCTAATTTTGAGTCATCAGTGCTTGAGGAGGTGTATTGAGCTGATCCACCCTCGTGTCTTCTTGAACAAATGGACATCTTGTGAGAGAAATTTTGAGAAAATGAGAGGGCGAATTTTAGGATACAACAGCTACCTCTGTTCAATCTTCTTAAATCTGAAGATTTAGATTGTAAGATCCGCCATTCATGACTTGAAGGTGAAAGATGATTGAACACTAAAGTGCCCAGAAATTTGCACTCGATGATGTATTGATTCAGGAATGGGATTATAGATGTCATTTGGAGAGATGATGGTAGAAACTGGGAGAAACATCAACATAAATCTTTGGTCAATTCATGCTGAAAACTAGGTGTCTTGCATGTCTTTAACTGGAAGAATTAATTCTGATCCAAAAGAGGTCTTTGGACCAAAGATTTTTTTTCTGTAAGGAATAAGGGGTTAGTGTATGCAAATGTACGCATGGTGTAATGATGTTCTCAAAATAAATGAGATTACATTGTATGTATATGTTATGTATGTTATATGATGTTATGAATGAAGAATATTATTGAAGTGTATCCTTGACAAATACCGGGGAGCTTCGGGAAGTCCAATCCCAGATTGTTGTGTATCTTAAGATTTTGTTTAAAATGCTTCCACTGGGGATTCCTGTTTTGTCGAGGGGAACTCCACTAGGTAATATTGACTTTGCTTGAGAATACTCTGTGGAGGGTTTTGATTTCTGCTTGGGAACTAGAGTTCAGGATTTTTAGTTGTCCACTGCTCTACTAGGGATTTATCTCTTGATCAGAGAAGAAGAAAGTTCAAGTGTTATATGGTCAAATTCCAGGTTTCACACCAACTTGCTGGGGATAAGGAAGTTAACTGTTATCTGGTTGGATTCCAAGCTTTGCAATAACTCACTAGGGATAGTGGCAAACTCTACTGGAGAAGAGGGAATTAACTGTTATCTGGTCAGATTCCAGGTTTTCACAGAAATTTGAAGAAGTTAAATTGATATCTGGTCGGATTCCGGGTTTCGCAGCTTAAACTTAAGGTTAACTGTTATCTGGTTGGGTCCAGGTTTCAGCAACTCGAACTGTTTATCTGGTCGGGTCGGGGCTCTGCAGTAACTGAAGAAGTTAAACTATTATCCGGTCAGGTCTAGGTTTTAGTAATTTAAAATTGAGATTTATTGTTATCCGGTCGGATCCAGGTTTTAGCAACTTGAACTGTTAACTGGTATCTGGTTGGGTCCAGGTTTTAGCAACTCGAACTGTTATCTGGTTGGGTCCAGGTTTCAACAATTTGATCTTGAGGTTAACTGGTATCTGGTTGGGTCCAGGTTTCAGCAACTCAAACTATTATATAGTCGGGTCCAGGTTTCAACAATTGAAGAAGTTAAACCATTATCTGGTCGGGTCCAGGATTTAGTAACTTAAAATTGAGATTTACTGTTATCTGGTTGGGTCCAGGTTTCAGTAACTCAAAATGTTATCTGGTCGGGTCCAGGTTTCAGCAATTAAAGAAGTTAAAATATTATCGGGTCGGGTCCAGGCTTTATAGTAACTTGCTTGAAAGGATGAATTTGAATGTTATCTGGTTGGGTTCTAGGCTTTACAGCAACTTTCAGAGATAATAATGAATTTTTTGGCAACTTCAT